ACTAAAGATTCATACCATTTTAGAATTTCATACCATTTGGTAATAGATGGTAAAGAAGATAAGTCAATTTTTACCATCTGTCAAGTGTAATATCCCTCTACAAGATCCAGGAGTGTACAAGCTTGACTGCGATTGTGGGCTCTCTTACATAGGACAAACAAAACGATCAATTAAAACCAGAATTAAAGAACACATAGCTGACGTGAAGCACCGACGGTTGAAGAAGTCTGCAGTTTGTGATCATATTTTAAACCACTACATTAGATTTGATCAACCGAAAATCCTCGAAAAAGAACACCGATTCCTTCCAAGGATGATCCGCGAGGCTATTGAAATAAAGAAACATCCTAATTTCAATAGAGAAGATGGTTGGAGTTTATCATCTGCTTGGGATCCCATAATTTATAAAATTAAATCCAAGCACACCAACACTGCCAGACCTCAAGATACCATAAGCTCCTTCTGCGTGGATCGGAATAAAAATAAACAAAATAATTGACGGTAGCCGGGGTTAACTATGACATCAAGACGTCTAACAACTTAGTCTGTCCCGTGACCATGAACGCTGGAAAGGGTTCGAAACGTCGGGAATTTAAATTAAAATAGAAAACGCGATAAAATCCGTAAAGTAGTTTCATTTAATATGTATAATATTCGCGTAAAATCAAGAAAACAATACTCGCCTTTAACTTAATACACTCGAACAATCTGAGTTCGATCCCCGGTGCCGGTGAAATTGTTAATATCAAGCGCTGATTTATCACGTGCTTCGTCGTGAAGGCCAATATCATGAGTAAACCTGCATATTTTCGAAACAATAACGAAAAAAAAACAAAAAAAATTTTTCGAAGTTATGTGAAGTCTGCAGAAGGGTCGCGTGGTGGACTATTTCCCGGTTCCTATATTCAACGAACGGCCGTTAGTTACATAGCTTCGTAACTTTCATCACGACTTGCAGGTAAAAGGCGTGTATGCCCGGTTCCTATATTAACAAAACGAGGCGTTTTCCTTACGAGCCGTTGCATTACCTACGGAAAGTGAGTCACTAGCGTTCCCTCGATCTACAAGTCGTTATGAAAGTAACGAAGCTATTTTACTAACGGCCGTTCGTTGAATATAGGAACAGGGCATATGCCTTAATACTTTCTGTACGAAGGAGGCCTGTGCCCAGCATTGAAATATGTATTGTATTATTGTACTGTTTCGTTTGGTAAGTGAAGTAACTGGGGCCCGACTTATTAAAACTGTTGCAAATCTCCATGGGCGGAGCTCGTCACTTAACATCTGGTGAACCGCCTGTTCGCTTAACAACTTCTCTCGAATAGATAAAAAATAGAACGTGCGATGACGCATAGTCCTTAGGAGGCTGTTAGCGTATCATTAGTGACCGCGTATGCACGAGGGATATTTCACGCGCTACGGTTAAGAAATAATGGGCCTGAATGTGTGAATTCCTCGTGACCTCTACTCCAATACTCGCGTTCGAAGTGGCTTTAATTGATAGCGCTAACGATTCGATGGCGCAGCAGCTAAGCTATCGGCATCGGCGCCAGTCGTGGGTTCGATCCCCACACGGGACGAGAGTTTGTGTGATTGATCCTTGGAGTCTGTTCCCAGGGTGGGTTAGGACTGTTCCCTCCAAGGCAGCCGGCTGTAAAAAATCTGATAATACCGCTCATAACCTCATTCAGATGTACTGACCCCCACTCCAGCCAAGTGGGGACGGACAACATCACATGTGAATCGTTTTATTTATGTTATTTATTAGCCAGGCTTATGTATGCCTGCCTGACGTCAACCCATTCGTGGTACGAGGCGTGCAAAGCTTTTACAGGCGAAGTGGTTGAGATTTTGCTCTATTGTCTCTACCATTACCAATTGCCGCTTATATAATAAGTATCTGGAGGTTTTTTTGTTTTTGGTAAACTTGTAAGTACTAAAATTTACCAATTAATTTTCAACTTTTTTTATGTTTCGGAATTTTCCCTTGACTTGTGCTGTAAGACGTTGCTTTTAACCAAAATTGACAATTCTAGGTCAACCGGAAGTATCCTATACGTTTTGGGTCAAAAAAAATAATTTTAACGCTTTATTAGGGTTGCGAATATTTTTTTTTTGTATTTCAAAAGTTGTAACCCGCCCGTAGTTGGGGCGAGATAGTTTGTTAGAAGCATTGCGTTTGGTATTCTGAAGCTATGTAAGCGAATTGAATTGTCGTAATTTTGTGTAACAAATAACAATCTTCGACTGCGGTAGGGCCACGCAGCAGTCTGAAAAAGAAACATGTGAGTTTCAACGACTCATACTATCTTGTGACACCTGTTATACTCTTACATATTAGGTCCAATGTTTTTTTTTGTTTTTTCCTTTTTTGTACATTGTGTAAATATGGGTACCGTTGGTGAGTCTACGAAAATAAAAAAAGGAAAGAAATGCAAGCAAAGAAAAAAGCCAACTAGTGTGGCACGAGCAACTCGTAAAACATGCGTAAAGTGGAGGCAGTTTCACGGGATTGGCAAGGGAAATTGCCACACATATAGGACGTTATCTAGTGATGTGTCAAACGGAATATCTTGGGCGATACGGTGATTGATCATCGTCACGCCGAGGACTTGGTAACAGTATATTTGTTTTTACACGTGATAACGTGGCAAACGAACTGGCGGTTCTCCTGATGTTAAGTTATAACCGCCGCCGCCATGGACATTTGCAACACCCGTAGGGCTGCATATGCGTTGTCGCCTTTTAATAAAGTGGGCTCCTGCTACCTCACTTACCTCACTTACTTCAAATGCTAAGAAAACAATGTAGAAGAATACGTTAAGATTTTCGTCGGTGTGGCAATCAGCCGTTTAGCTCAGTGGCTAGAGCGTCAGGCCGCGAATGCCGAAGACGTAGGTTCGATTCCCACAGCGGCGACAATCTTTTCGCACTTTTTCTACATATTTTAATTTAAACCAATCTTTTAAATTTATCGCTAATTATTTTTAATTTACTTAACACGTTTTTGGATTAAATTTTGTAAATATCCGGCCCGTTAGAGCCAAACACCCCGCCAATTGGATGGTTGAATATTCATGGGGTGAGTTAGTACCCTTGACCGGTTTCTGTTCGGTGAGAAATTTGCAATCGTTTGATGTTTTTCCCCTTTTTTTTAATTTGGACCGTCTCGACAAAAAGAAATGTATTCAGTTTATTAGTTGCCTGCATTAAAGTAACTTCTTTATGTTAGGCTTATGTTAATATGATAACAATTAAAATAAAAAAAGTTAAGTTAAGTAACAGCCTGTACATGTACCACTGCTGGGCAAAGGCCTTATCTTCCTACAGAGGTCATAGGCCATCACGCGACTCCACTGCCGATTCGCGTACTTCACACATATTTTTTTTCTGTTATTATTTCGAAAGTTCCTCGCGACGTTTTCCTCCACCGCTGAGCAATTGATAAGTCAGCACTTAAAATTAACGATTTCATTGGCGCTGGAACCGGGGATCGAACTCGGGTTGCTCGAGTAAATTGAACTAAAGACGACCGCCCGGACACTGAGCTATCACGGCGAGACGACAATTAAAATGCTACCATTTATTACGTATAAAGCGTGAAGCGAAAACATCCGAACCGTTTTTAAGGATATTGCTTTGGTAGTCTGTTATAATTTGCCATAGTTGCCACGACCATGATTAATTTAAATTATAAGTTTGAACAATATTAATCTATTCTCAAGTTGACCACAGACTTTAACAATAAACAAAAGAGTATATACCTACGCTTAATTTTTTTTATTTATTTATTCTGTTTTTTATGCATAATTAAAAAATATTAGCTTTCTGCACTCCTCTATGTAAACTATAAGTGTACGAAATTTCATACTCTTCCGTCTGCGCAATTTTCGTAAAGGGCGGTACAAAGTTTTTCCTCCACGTATTAATATATAGATTATATATTATGTGTAGTTGGGTTGTACGTTTTTAGAATATAATTGAATTTCGCAAATGAAACAATTAAATGCTATTATTTAATTAGTAACGTGCCAATTAACGGCTCTACGGCCGTCAAATCTGGTTTGGTAACTTATTTATCTCCGTTAGGGGAAATAAATTAATAAGCCCAATAATTGTTGAGTTAAACAAACAAACGGAAATACAGGCGGACACACGTCTTTAGGTCTAGATATATGTATATATCTGAATAAAGAATATATGCGAATTTTTACGATTCACGACACCTAAAGGCGGCACCAACTTCATGGTGTTAACATGGCAACGAAAAAACTTTGGCATTTATGCCAATAATTTTAAGTTATTTAGTTAAACCGTTATCTATTGTATTTAATGTTTTTTTTTTTCACAAACAAAGAGTACTGGCACACGGGATATAATTTTTGGTTATTTATCTTTAGTTAGGCTAAAGAAGTATAACTTGTTACGTCCATATATAAGCCAACACACATTTTTTTTAAAAGTTGTAATCGATTTTGTATTTTTCAGGTTCCTGTCCATTCCTTATTGCAATCGCCCTCCTAACTTATTCCGTGATATAACGACTTACCTATCTACACCCATCGTATAAAACTAAGGTTCATTCCGTTTACAATTTTAATTATATCCTCCCATCACAATCATGATCATCCTAATACTAAATATTAGGATTATCTATTAATATTATGATTAACGAAGGTGATCTATTTATGATTTTGTCTTGTACTAGTATCGCGAACCTCGAACCAATCCTAGATTCCGTGCTCTCTTATCGCCGATATTTATGGTGTTTTGAGCTGTAAACACCACATAATATTACTGACGACGGTACGACGATAATTTTTATATTTTATGGAATAAATACCGTATCGCAATAACACCTTACTTCTGAAACCTGTCTCGAGTATTGATAATTTGCAATTTTCGTTTCTGTCACCCGTCGCGAAGACCTTTCCCTACCACGCCGCGTATCCCCATATCCCACCACAAGTCCTTACCCGCCATGCTGTGACCCACTCACCATGAGCTCCTCACCAGCCGTGGAGCCTTCGTCGCCGTCCACCACCACACCGTCGTCGCCGGCGCTGCGGGCGAACGACCACGGCCAGTTTCAGACGTCCACGCCTAATTACGTGAACAAGGTAAGCGAGAGCGTCGAGCTCGTGTGAGATTTGAGCTCACCTCGATCTTAATTACTATAAGCTTGTGCGAGATTAGATCTCGCCTCAAACTCATTATTCTAAGCTCGTGTGAGATTTATAGTAAATTCGATCTTAATAATTTTAAGCTCGTGCGAGACTTGAGCTCACCTCGATCTTCATTACTATAAGCTCGTGCTTTTTTTAAATACGTCTATCAGTTGTATTAGGCTAGAATAAAGGAAAATGGACTGATGTTAAACGATAAAATAAATGTTATGAAGATTCTATACAATTTTTAGAAATATTAGACAATTTTTTAGTACAAACAAATATTTCTACTCTTTTTTAATCAAAGTTGTTTTAAGTGAGATGTAGATATTTTCACCGAATTTAGTCGGAAGTCGGAGGGTCTTATATTATTATCATTCGTCTCTCATTATGACTTCTCGAGCTTCATAACTATAAGATTGAAAGTGAGTTAAAGGAAGAATTTGTAATATTTATCCAATGAAAACCATGTAGAGATATATTTTCGCTTCTTCGATGCAGCGATACGACCTTTGCTGAAGCGGTAAATATTCAATGTTGTGTTCTATAGAAGGTCTTATGGCTAAGGCAATAAGTTTCTTTAGACATTAATTTGAGTATTATTAGAGCCTCGTATTATGACTCGGCGACGCCGTTGCCAAGGTATTGGCTTCGGCTTCGGGTTCGTGGGTTCGATTCCCACACGGGACAAGTATTTGTGTGACGCACAGATAATTGTTTCGGATCTGGGTGTTTGTTTCCCAAAGAGGATTGTCGTCAGGCAGGCGGCTGGTCATAAAAAATATAGCCTAAACAGCTTACGACATGATTCACACCTGCCAACCCTACCTAGGTGAGATAAGGACAGGAGGATGATGATGATAGAGCCTCGTATTAGTAATCGTAGTGTAGGACGACCCCCCACTAGATGGTGTGACGACCTGTGCAAGTGTGTAAGAAGTCGATGGATGCAGGTGGCTCAGGATCCGTACTTCGTGGCCGTCTATGGAGGCCTATGTTCAGCAGTGGACTCTAACCAGCTGAAATGATGACGATAATAGATCTTACATATACTTTTCTTAAGAACCCGGCAGATGCCGTCGCAATTTCTTTACAACCAATTTCCATGGAGTATTGATGGATAGTAAAAAAAATTAAATAACTGTAGCACCATTTCGTGGGGACTTCAAACAAAAGGGTTTAAACCATTTCCATTAATAGAAATTAGAAAATATACACACTCGCCAATTATTATGGACATCCGATTTTTTGTCTATTTGTTTTTAAAAAGGGTTTAATCGCTACGGACTGTGTTAACATGATTACAAAAAGCAACAACAAAATAGGCTTAACTTAGATCAATTTAAACCGCCTCTGCGGCTTATACCTAAGTTAACACTCCCATAAGGTATCCTGACAGGATCCGATGTTGGATATGCAAGGACAGTATTACATACACCAGTCTGGAAAATTTATGTACTAAATTACAAAGATCTCTTCTCTCCGGTTTGCTCCGTGCGTATTCCACTATTGCATGGTATACATCCTTATTCGGACATTCGATTTTATAAAGACAGAAGAGTAAGATTTTATCACGTGCTCACCGGTGAAGGAAACATCGTGAGGAAAGCTGCATACTTTCGAAATAATAACAAAAAAAAAACATTTCGAAGATATGTGAAGTCAGCTAATCCGCAGTGGGGCCGCGCTGTGGACTATGGTATGTATATAGACGAAGCCTTTGCCCAGCAGTGGGACATGTATAGGCTGTTACTCTTTACTTTTATGAGTAAGATTAATGCAGTATTCGAACCCGACCCCGAAACTCCCTTGTAAATAAAGTCATTATGTTTATGTATAATAGGAATTCCGGTTCGCGATAACAATTGTGTTCTTATCAGAAATGGTTTTGATCGTAAAAGCAATAACGCATTAGAACAATGTCTATTTGTTCAAGAAATAACTTAACGCAACTAGATAATTTACGATTCGCGTTCTGGTTTTGAATGTTGAACAATTCAAGAACAGGGGGGTCAAAATGGCGATAGAAAAAGTTAATTTAATTAAAAATTAATTGTTGATTTATTTTAATATGGACCTAAATGGTTCGAATACTTGTGATTATTTTAACAATAATAGAAATTTGCTGGGCAAAGCAATAAGGAATAACAAGTACGCTGTACGCGTGGAAAATAAAATATAAAAATAAATGACGTGAAATAAATGTATTCTATTTTTCTTAGAATTAAAACTTTAAAATTTCTAAAAGTACTATATTTTATAACTTAGAAAAAAAATATTATTCTAATCCACAAAAAAAGGTGGCAACCCTGGAGTGCTCTACATAATGTAGTGATAATGTAATAGCTATTATTAGTTTTTATTGTGATCCTGCTCAAATCGCTGCTCCATTGTCATGTAATCATTATCATCAGCCCAATATAGGGTTAGATTTCAGGCTGCCACTAAGCACGAATATGAGCCATCTGCATCCATAGACCTGCCGCACATTTGCACCACTGAAGAATCAACTCAGTATTATACTCTATCATATTTCCTTCCCGAAATGAATAACCCAGGGTCGCCCATTACGAAATAAATACATACATGCTCTATGTCTGGGATGACGTAACGCTTTCTCTATTTACGCAGTTTATCGTAATATTGGCCCTTGACACGCAAAATTGCCTCATTGTCGGCTAGCGAAATTAGGATGCTCTAGACGTGACACGAGTCAAATTACGATTTTAATTGCGTTTCTGATTGTTAATTATTGATTGCGTTTAGAACTGGAATTAATCTTTTTTTTTATGTGAAAGGGGTAAATGAGCTGGCGGTTCACCTGGTGTTAAGTGATAACCGCCGCTCATGGACATTTACAACAGCCGTAAGTTTGCAAATGCTTTGCCACCTTTTGATAAAGTGGGCCCCGGCTACCTCACTCACCAGACGAAACGCAGAAGCGTAACACTTCTACTTTACGCCGGTCTTCTGTGAGGTCCTGGTACTTACCCGGATGGACCTGCCTATTCGTGCAACAGTCAACACTGTTGCGTCGCCCTACCTCACAATACTAGTGTGGAAACAGGTTCGATACGTCACCTTTTCTATCATCAGCCTGGATAAATGATTTTTTATACTATATGTTAATACGCATACAAATTCACTCCAGGCGCGTTAACAACGTATCTGTAGTGTAAAATATCATTGGACGGGAGCAAGGAAGTTGTCACTACATAATTTTTTTTTCTTATTTAAAAAAAATTGAACTTACTTTAGGATAAAATTATACTGTGTGGTGTGATTAAAATCCAGATGCGAAGCAACTATCTGTGGGTCACACAGATAGTTGCCAGACGCCAAAGCCAATACCTTGGCACAGAGTCATCAAATTAATAGTTATGTGAAGTTATAGATTTTATTTTAATAATATATTTTTGGAATCAGGGGCCTATTATATTAACGATAATAGCCCCTGGGAATGGGATGATCGCTCCTAAGCCGTTTCTAAAAAAATAAGTACTATACAACAATGTATTTGTTTAAAAAAAAATGACACAAAAGAGGATACCTACGGAGTATCTTTCGCTTGTTTCTTCTCCGTTAGAGGAAATTGCGAAACGGTGGTAGATTTAAAAAATGACAATCGAAAGATGAAATGTACATTTATTATTTCGATGAATAAATGATTTGATTTGATTTGATATTAAGGAGTTGTACCTTTAAATATGTTTGTTGATTTGCTAATATCAATTTGTCTACTTCCAGAAGCAGTACCATCCACCGCTAAACGTTATCCTGCCAGCAACTGCTCCGGGTACACCCCCCACATTTGGTCAGTTGCTTTTCATTACAATATAATCGCTGTAACATACCGTGCTAATAAAATAGGATTGCCACGTATGCTGGTTATTATATTAAAAACCAAAACCTGTCAAGTGCGAGTCGGACTCGTGCACGGAGGGTTCCGCACCATTAAATATGAGAACGGCAAAAAAAATCATGTCTGTTGTATGGGAAGCCCCACTTAAAATGATAGGGTCCCTAAAAACTTTTTTATGTAAAATTTTACCAAACGAGCAGGCGGTTCACCTGATGTTAAGTGAATAGATCCGCCCATGGACATCTGCTACATCCGAGGGTTGCAGATGCGTTGACAACCGTTTGAAAATTGGGAACCGGCCACCTCATTCACCAGACGAAACACTTCTACTTTACGCCCGTCTTCTGTGGAGGCCGTAGTTCTTACCCGGACGAGCCTGCCCATTCGAGCTGCAGCCGAGGCTGCTGTGTGGCCCTGCCTATACACATATCTATAAAAATAATGTCTGTTGTATGGGAGCCCGACTTAAATATTTTCATTCTGTTTTTAGTATCTGTTGCTATAGCGTCAACAGAAATACATCATCTGTGAGAATTTCAACTGTCTAACTATCACGGTTCATGAGATACAGCCTGGCGATAGACGGACAGACAGGCAGACAGACCGCAGTCTTAGTAATTGGGTCCCCTTTTACCCTTTGGGTACGGAAACCTAAAAAAACAATTATATAGAGGTAGGCCTAGCGGTCAAGGGCTGAGTGAGTGTCGTGTCTTGTCCACCGCCAGGCGAGCCGACCTTGACGCCGCCGCCAAGGTCGCCCGGGGCAGCGCGGCCACCCCCGCCTCAGGCGACGGCCGGGGCCACCCACCAGACGGCACATCGTCCGACAAGGTGATTATACATCCATGTGAACGCTCAGCTGACGCGGAAGGTTCCATTTTTCATCTATAACTAATCTTATCCTTTAAACGAGCAACTCTTGCATAATCTGAATCTCGGAAACGGCTCCAGCGATATTCATGAAATTTTGTATGTGCGTAGATTCGGGAGCGTAAAATAGATAATTTTAAAAAACGTCCTTTTATCCCTGTTTTTAGGGAATGAAAAATATCATTCGAATATGACGATAAATGTTATAATATCTCGGTCGGTAATCAGGCGGCCCCGAAACAGAAGGCCGTGGTTCGTGTCACGATCATTTACATACTTATTTTTTTACTTTTTTTTCGATTCCAGATCATTGCTTTCTTTATTTTTTGTACATCCAGATGATTTTGTTCTCTTTTCCCTTTTTTTTAAAGTTCTTTCTTTTGTGAAAAACACCAGTTCATTTTTTGCTTATTATTACGTCGGTAAGATCGAAAAATATGCATATTTCATTACTCAGTAATGTGTATCTAAATGTATGTTATGTCCAAAATACACGATTTACCAGAAAAAAAAAAACCGAGCAAAGCTCGACCCTACAGCTACTACTCATTACATCTGTTTACTAGCGACCCGCCCCGGCTTCGCACGGGTGCAATGTATTTAATACCATACCATAAAGTTTAAGTGGGGGTTCCGGGAAGACAATACAACTGAGTGACGTTAATATCGTATAAAAATTAATGTCCATATTTTTCATTTTGTAATAATTTTTACTAGATAGAGTGATTCGAGAGGAAGGTTTACCTATATGTATCATGGCACCATGACACCCATGCGAAGCCGGGGCGGGTCGTTAGAATTATAATAAAATTATGCAAAAGAAAATATATTAAATCACTAAAGATTACACACTACCATGTATTTGACAAGCAAACGCATATTTATACTCTTTTGTTTATTGTTTGTGTATTTGAGACTAGATTAATATTGTTCAAACTTGGTCGAATTTCGACCACTCTACGTGGTACCATCTACCATACTTATCTATACTTAGTATAGATAAGTATGTCAGGCAAGACTATTTAGTATACACCTCGACCGGTTCAATTCCAGTCTCGAATCCAATTAATCTTCTTCTTTCCTCTCTTCTCTTCTCGCCCGTCCCAGTCCTCGGAGACGGCCGCTGGCGTGTCCCGCACGCCCAGCACGGCCCTATCCCGAAAGGAGAGCTACAAGGCGCAGAGGCAGCATTATAGACGGGAGAAGAAGAGGGCCGCGTCAGCGTTGCTCCACTCAATCGAGGACCCCACGGTGGTGGTGCTGGCCGACTGGCTGAAGGTACACTTATGGTGGTCGCAAACCTTTTCAGGGTCGGATAGAGAGGTTCCGTGTACAGTTAGCCACGCGAGTGAGTACTGGAAACTGGGTTTGTCCAGTCCTATGGCTTATTGCTTTTAATACCACGTACGTACCACGACAGTACCACGACAGTACCACGACCTCACAGAAGACCGGCGTGAAGTGTTATAATTCTGCGATTCGTCTGGTGAGTGAGGTAGCCGGGGCACACTTGATTATAAGGTGGCAACGCATCTGCAACCCCGCGGGTTTTGCAAAAGTCAATGGACAGCGGGTATCACTTAGATCGGGTGAATTGCCAGCCCGCTTGCCATCATCTCACATAAAAAACACTTCCATATTACGCTGGTCTTCTGTGTTTCTGGGTAGTGAGGTTACCGTGTAAGTGTGGTGCGATGCCATTGTCGGCAATTCCATGGGCGGCGGTTATCGCCTAAAATCAGGTGTGTATGTTAGTAGTGGGATGATAGCGAACTTTATATTGACAAAGGGACTGTAAAACACAAAACGACGATTATTGTCGCGCGATGAGGATGTCGAGGGCGCCTGGACGCGTGATACGGGGCAGGTTCGAATCCTGGTAGCGATAAAAATCCGCCTTTTAGCTTAGTGGTTAAAGCGTCAGGGCGTCAATCCTAAGACGTGGGTTCGATTCCCACAGCGGCGAAAAACTTTTCGTACTTTTTTCTACAAATTTTAATAAGAAACAATTCATTATAGGTGTACAGACTAACTAGTATTAGTTATTCTTTCGGAAACTTGTCCTTTTGATGGTTGGCAATGTGCTTAGAAGTCCTCTGGTGGCGATGATATCCTTGAGCGGTGGTAATCACCAGTTAATGAACTGCTCTGACCTTGACTTTCCCTCCAGGTCCGAGGCTCCCTGAAGTCCTGGACGAAGCTATGGTGCGTCCTAAAGCCCGGCCTACTGCTTCTGTATAAGAGCCCCAAAGCCAAGGTACGTTGCACTGATGTGGAAATATCGAGAGTTGCCCTTAACGCGGAGTCTTTAAGGTTTATTTTCGAATAGAGCGCAATTGTTTGGAGGATTGTCCTTTTCTTTCTTCTGCTCTTATGTCACCTATGGTGGAATCGATGCATCATCGTCACATCAACCCTCTTTGGGTGTATAACCAGATCTGGAACAATCATTTGTGGGTCAAACAAGTACTCGTCGCGTGTGGGAATCGAACCCACGACCCCCGGTGCAGAAGCCAAAAACTTAGCAGCTGCTAAGCTATTTATAAATAATAAAATATCAGTAGGTATACATTAATGTCGTAGCTAAACAGGAATACTGTCAATTTTAAAATTATTTAATCGATCTACGCAGTAGAGTACTACAGAAAACTAGTAAGTTTTCTTGAAGTCTTACAGTCTTCGTTTGCTTCAATTCAATGTTTTGAATTAATGCACACACACACATTTATCACTTATTTATTCATTTATACTTACTTCACTTATTTATTTATTTATACTTGACGCACAACTATATTGTACAAAGGTGGACTTAATTCCATCAGCACTATTTACCAGTTAAATTTGGCGTAGAGCCGTGATAGCTCAGTGTCCGGGCGCTCGCCTTTAATTCAATATACTCGAGCAATCTGAGTTCGATCCCCCCGGTCAATGAAATTGTCAATTTTAAGTGCTGAAATATCAATTGCTCAGCAGTGAAGGAAAACATCGTGAGGCAACCGAAATATTTTCGGATTAATAACAAAAACAATATTTTTTTTATTATACCTTATTCACTATAGCCTTAATCAAGCTTTTATTGAACGTAAAAAAAATCTACTAACGGTTACCTAAACTAGACCTGCCCAGAAAACAATCGGTAAGAAACTATTCGGTCTTGTTATCTCTTTTTTCCCTCTTTTATCTCTTTTGTTCTCTTAACCCTCCGTGGTGTAGTATATTAATGGTATTGGTAGCTTTCACGGTGACGATCGCAGTGATACGGTGACTGCTTCCTCGCCTAAAACCTATGATGCTTCACCGTCCTGCCGCAGTACACCGGCACCAACAAGTTGCGCCGCCATTATAACGCGCCCCCGCCGTCCACAGAGCAGCCACTGGGTGGGCACCGTGCTGCTCACCTCGTGCCGAGTGATCGAGCGGCCGAGCAAGAAGGACGGCTTCTGCTTCAAGCTCTACCACCCGCTGGAGCAGAGCATCTGGGCGCCGCGCGGGCCGCACAACGAGACCATCGGTGAGTGACCCCGGCGCTCCTGTTTTTTATAGTGTACGAGAGGTCTTCTTTGGGCTGGGCGAGGCTGGCTCTGATGCCTCGAGCCGCAAGTTTCGTGACCAGCAAGGCTCTCCTGGTGTTCTATCTTTCAGAGTTAAGCCTCTCTTTAGGCTGTGCTGGGCTGACTGGTGTCCCGTCCAGCAAGGTCTCGTACTGGTACTTATCTCTTTCGGAGTGAAACCTCTTTTAAGGCTAGGTTGGGCTAACTTTGGTGCCTTGACCAGCAAGGTCTCGAGCTGATACTCCGGTCTATCGAAGTGAAACTTTTCTTTAGGCTACGCTGGGTCGACTGGTGTCCGGTCCAGCAAGGTCTCGAACTGATACTCCTGTCTTCCGGAGTAACACCACTCTTTAGGCTAGCTGAGACTGACTCTGGTGCCGCACCTGTGTCGTGATCAAAGGTCTTGGCTCTTGTGTTCCAAACCCCCCCCCCCCCCCCCTCCTACCGTAATCCCCGTGTCGATACTAACGACGTAAGTGTAACCCACCTTTGAACAGAGGGCATAAAGGCGTTGGAAAAATATTAATGTCTAATAAGGACATTAGTTCTATATCCACCCTAACTCTGTCCAGCCGTAATATGTCAATTTACTAGACTGTCTCTATATGGAGGGTGAACCCTTACTTCCCGATTTTTCGAGACTTGTCAACATAGACGATGCCCTACTCCTCAGGAGCCGTGGTCCAGCCGCTGCCGACCGCTCACCTGATCTTCCGCGCACCCTCGCAGGCGGCTGGCCACTGCTGGCTCGACGGGCTGGAGCTGGCTCTCCGATGCAGCAATGCTATGCTCAGGTAATCATGGGTCTAACTTAGCTAAACGGCGGCGACACTTGATGTTCATAAGACCAAGCAAGCAGGAAGAAATTTTAGAAGGAAGACTGTACTTAAGCAGCCATAAGCGAGAAAATCGGTATATTAATTATTATGCCTATAATTATGGGATGCGCAACTTTAACTTACCACTAAAGTTAATTAAGCGAGTGCGACGTTCGGTCGAAGTGTTTAGCCTTCTCTTTCGCGCCGCAGTCTAAATCGCTTTCTCTCCCTCACACAACGCACTCGTGAAAAGTACAGTAATAAGCCACATATTTTAAAGTATTCTTGAAAATTGTGAACATATTTTAGATATTGGGTGGTTTTGTTGCGATTTTTGCACATGACAATACTTGCGCTGAGATAAAAGGAGCCGACTTGAGTGCATTAAGTGAATTCTTGAATGCTTGCCCCTTCGGTCTCCAGGTGTTCCCGGTCCAGACCGGAGCAGACCGTGGAACCTGAAGCGCCCGCCACCCAGACCAACATCTCGCACGAGGAACTGGAGAAGCATTTCAATGAGCACGGTAAGTTATTAATTATAATTGTCAATCAATATCGAATACTAAAATGTTTCTAGTGCGTATCTAGAAACTCAATTGTTTCTGTGTTAGGTGTTATGACGGAACTATAAGTTATTAAAAAATTGTTTCGTTAAAAAAAACTCATGTTAGGATGAGAAAAGATTTTCATTTTATTGTCGGTGCAAATTTTTACATGGACGTAAATTACCGATTTGGTAGGAATGTTAATTGTAGCAACATATTAATTACTACTTATGTTATATAATAACAATATCTAATACGTTCATGAAAAGCTTTAGGATTTAAACATAATAGTGTTATAGGAGAGAAATTGTAACTAAAAATGTTTGGTACGACTTTTACACCTTTAAAATACCATCAAATGGATGAAATCAAAACATAACACCATAATTTAATAAGTTATTACCTAATCTCATTTATTAATAAGAATATTTATGTATAGCGACATGTAGCACCATTAAAATGCAATTTAATTTTTTAAGAAATGGAACCCAACTAAAGGGAAATTACTTATCTATTAAATCAGTTTGACATACCTATTATGTTAATTGATTTGATTATTGAATTAAATTACCAATTTGGACAAAACTACCAGATTTAAGTGTTGCTACTACAAATGAAAAACTGTTCACAATATTTATAAAAATTAGTTTTAGAAGCTGATGTATGTAGTTGCCGTTGTAAATATATAATAAAAATGTATTATTGTCGTGATTATACCTCTCAGAAACTAATTTAGTAAAAAATTACAGTAACGTTATTAAATATATAACAATAAATATGTTGTGTATATACGTGTAAGTGATATTAAAATTTTATTTTAAATTAAGAATCTTTTACCAAGCTATTAATTTTCGTTTTATTTTAACACATTTTGCTAACAATCTAGTTTGAAATTGATCGACCAATTTACAATCGTATCAAGTTACCAAACACACGTGCAAAAAAGTGTCATTTCATGTTTACAAATAAACCAACGTAACATGTATATGCACGAATTGTAACAACGTTAGAATAACGCAAGGATTATTGTCTCCGACGTTCTTAAGGTAAATAGCCTCTATATATAACTAACGTTTGTGTTTTACCCCTTACCCTACCCTATATACCCTGCACGTACTACCATACTCGCTACGTTATCCGCTACGTTACTCGCTCTTTACTCGTTCGTTAACCCCACGTTACTCGCTACGGTGATCGCTACGTTTCACACTACGGTATCCGCTACGTTACTCGATACGGTACATCATATGCTACACGAAACACTACGTGCTACGAAATCGGTTGTGGTATATTTCGGTTAAAACGCGTCGACGTCGCCAGTCAAGCAAGTGGATTTGTCCACCCGGAGCTCCCCCATCCCCGTGACGTCACCCCCCGACCAGACCCCGGGCCGCTGCCGCTCGGCGGACCCCAGGCCGAAGAAGGCCAAGGCGGGCCGTGGCTCGGTGTGGGCGCAGTTCGTGGAGTCCATAGAGACCCTCGCGCGGGAGCACGACACCAGCGACTCGCAGTCGCCGGAGAGCGAGAAGCGCGACCCCGGCTTCCTGGACTTCCTGAGGAAGAGGGACGAGAGACCTGCTCCGGAGGCGATCGCCCAGAAGAGACTGAGCAAGAGTCTAGCGTCCAGCCCTCTGAGGGTCGACGCGCCGAGGAGGTCGCCGATCCTGAGGTACTTCGACCTGCCCAAGCTGCCCGTCCAGGTGGACAGGAGCCGGAGGAGGTTGCCCTCCTCGAGCACTCTCGACGAGGGCCTCGACAAGCCGCCCTCGCCGAAGAGACGCAGCTCCACCCCGTGCACCTTGAAGTCCAAATTGGCACGGCAGCGCATCAGCGACCTGCGCCGCACCGGTTTCAAGACCGACACGGAGAACGACGAGGCGCCGAAGAGGGTGGCGGGCGGTTCCGAGGTGCTATGCGACGCCCCCGGCAGCGTTCTGATAACGAAGACCGCGCCCTCGGTTGAGAGGTTCGCGTGCAGCAGCTCGTCGACCAGCGACGGCTGCGACGGCAAGCCGGACGGGTGAGTAGCGGGGCAGGGGCCGACGGTGGCTGGTCGAGCTGTGGTCTTATCGGCCGAGGCTCCTAGTTCTTTTCCCCATGGTGTTGTATAGCGCGAATTCCGACTGGGCGTATGCTTCAACATGCCACCCACTTCCCCAAGACCAAGCCCAATTTTCAAAACGTTGTGAACGCATATGGAACCCTCGGGCGTAGCAGATGTCTATGGGGGGCGGTATTCACTTAACATCAGGTGAACCGTCGGCTCGCTTCGCAACTTTTCACATTTCACATTTCAACAAGACCACAGAGATGTAATGGGGGCTGGTAGAATCAGTGCCCTACCATAGACGGATTGATTTAATTCATTCGCTATTTATAAAATTATATTTCAGCTTCGATAACGTAATTTGTCAACAAAACGTGATGTATGCAGTTATGCGGCCTAAACATCACGTCTCCTTACTTCCTCGCAAAACGAGTAAATAATTTGGACGTTAATCGAACAGCAATGCCTCAACCTTTAGGTCATACAAATACATGTATTGTATGATGGGATGGAGCCATTAGTCCGCTATGCCCAGGCTTCAGAAACTGTGTCGGCGAGCCATGCGATCTGTAAACAGAATAGCACCGCTGGGCTAAAGCGGTTCAATCTAGCGCATTAAGCGATCTTTGAACAACACAGCACAACGCTAATCAACAAAGGCTGTGCCATAAAGGGCTACGCGAACATTTTTCAATTGTAACGAAAATAAGTCAATATTATCAAGCACTTTAAGCACGACATATCGTGGAATTAAAAGCCATCAAGCGATTTACGCTTACGATCTTTGAATAACACAGCACAACGCCAACCAACGAAGGCGGTACAGTAATCACGCGCTCTGTAAACTATGGTCAACTGCAAACAAACCGCTATCGTCAAGCGCTTTAAGCGCTTTATGCACACATTACCGTCGATTTAAGGAGGCATTGCCATCAAGCGCTTTACGCGATCTGTGAACAGCGCGTCGTACCGCCACGGCTCGCCGTCGGTCGGCAAGTTCTCGCTGATCGACTACGCGAAGTTGCCATCGGCCAGCTTCGAGACCGTCCAGTCGGAGAGGAGGGGCAACAGGCTCTCCAGCCAGAGCGTCTACGTCACCGGCAAGGTGCTGGAGAGCGGTAGGTAGCTTGAGATGAAGATGATCTGTGCCGAGATGCTGCGCTGAAGATGCCGTCAGCGCCAGGGATATCCTGCTAGGGATCCCTAAAAAACCTTGCCTAATTAGAACTAGGGCTGGAAGCACATTTCGTTACACGAGAGAGAAGGAAGATATAACGTAGATAGAGAGCGACGTATATAGCGCTCGTGCTCGCGTACGCTTCCAGCGTGTATGTTAACAGCAGAGGTACTTCTTACTATGTCGACGACGTTTTATGATTGTTTACGTTTTCAAGAAGTTTCACTTCTGTCAAGTGTCACGTTTTTAGTTATTCAAGAACAATATCAGTAGAATGTCCTCCTCATACTTGTGTTTAATTAGTGTTATATAATGTTTGTTGCGACCGTTAAAGGAGACTCCATACTTGAGTATAGCATTACTACGTTTGTTTTATGATTGTTTACGTTTTCAAGAAGTTTCACTTCTGTCAAGTGTCACGTTTTTTTTTACTTATTCAAGAACAATATCAGTAGAATATCCTCTTCATACTTGTGTTTAATTAGTGTTATATAATGTTTGTTGCGACCATTAAAGGAGACTCCATACTTGAGTATAGCATTACTATGTTTGGGTCTTTCTTCCGGTGGCGCTATGTCAAAACTAATATTCCAGGAACGGTGCTAGAAATTTACGTTAGTTGCTCATGCTAAAGTATTATATATAGATTTTACGGCATCTAACTTTCTTTCGCGTAAAAAATGTTATGCTCTAGTTTAGATATATATGGAGGTGTTTGGCGTGGTTATGTCACAATAGTCATGTTGTGCTGTCTTCGCAGTTGCCGTGCGAGCCTATTGCTTGTACAGGGAGATTTTATGAGAAGTGCCCAAATTTACACAGGAGGTTCAGACTCGGTAGTATAATCGTTTATAGACATAAAAAACAAAGATTTTTTCCAAAAAAAAAAATGCCATTCTATTCCATTTACATTACATTACATTACTGTGCACGAACTTGTGTGCGTGTTAGTTATGAATGATCGCGCGTAAAATAAATGAGTTGCGTATAAATCACGCACTTTTTGAGATAAGTTCAAATGAATGTAATTAATTACTTACGAGTGATTTTAAATATTTATCATTTTTATATAACATTATTTATGTCTAGAATTTAATAAAAAAATGGTTACACTTAGAAAAGCCCCTGTATATTTGCCTTTCATTGGTTACTTAAAGTATAAGTGCGAGCCCAGTACCTTGAGGCACTCTCTACTGTTTTTGCATTTTGGTGAATCGGTTCATTCGTTTTGATATTTTGGATCAAGTCGAAATGCTGTAGAATGCTTAAAAATTTCGGATATTTGCAATGGAAAAACATCTGACAAAATGTATAAAATACTTTTATTTATAAATGAAGGCTTATTTTAGTAAGTTGTTGTTTAGTACATTATATTTAAACGCATGTGAAACAATTTTTTTTCAAGCTATCACATTCTCCGCTATCAGAAACTATTAAACAGAATAAAATAATGTTTAAGTGGGGCTTCCATACAGCAGACATGTTTTTTTGCCGTTTTTATAGATAATGTACGGAACCCTTCTTGCGCGAGTCCGACTCGCACTCGGCCGGGTTTTAGTAAGTAACAAAAATAAAACTGACTTCATATATGAATTTTCTATTTTATTTTTGACTATTTTTGAAGTTCCCTAATGTATCTTGTTAACTTTGGAGAACAAATTCCCAATACCGATAACATTAATATGGATCACGTGGGAGCTAAGCCGGACCAAATGCAAAAATATTTTTTAAAATCAATTTAAAAAAGTTTTTCAGTAACAAACATAAATAATATACTACACGCGAAAGGTGTTTCGTAGGAGATCCCGTTACTTTAACCAATGTACTTTGTGAGTAAGAACCTTCCATAATGCCATACTCCCCCTAAAGGTAGGGTGCCATCGAGGAATTCTCTATAATCACATAAAAAAAAGAAAAAAGCCCCTATGCAAAGAGATCTTTTCTACGGGAGGAAACATTTTCAAGGCTTTAAAATTTGAAGATTCGCCGCTGTGGGTATCGAACCCACGTATTCATTTCATTCGTTTTGCCGTATTCGCGCCCAGACGCTTTAACCACCACGTCGACGAAAATCTAAACGTATTTTATCTACTTTACATATTTAAGGCCTTTAAGACACCTCTGGGATGATGTACACAACATGGGCTGTAATAGATCGCTTTGGAAGACTGGTATAATAATAATAATAATAACTACTTCCTGGCGAGATCGGATGAGTCAATCTACACGGACGTCATTAGTTGTGATAAAGGACTTACCCCTCTGTCCTTAGCCAACGAGCAATGGCAGGACCCGGGAGTACTGAGCGTTTCCGACCGGGAGGCCGTATGGAAGGAGAAAGAGCTCCACGGGAGTTCTACAAGGCCCTACACGAGCCTTTCGTAGATACAACTGCCTCCCTCAACTGGCTACGTTTCGGTGACCTCTTTGGGGAAACCGAAGGTTTTGTCTGTGCGATACAGGATCAGGTTATTAAGACGAACAACTATCGGAAATACATCCTAAAGGATGGCACCGTCGACATCTGTCGAGCTTGTCGCCATCCCGGGGAGTCGCTTCGGCATGTTATTTCCGGTTGTTCCATGCTTTCTAACTCTGAGTATCTGCATAGACACAACCTAGTAGCCAGAATCCTACACCAGGAGCTCGCTCTGAAATACGGCCTCGTGGATCGGAAACTGCCGTACTATAAGTACTCTCCGGAGGCCGTGCTCGAAAATGACCGCGCCAGGCTCTATTGGGACCGGCCCATCATCACGGACAGGACGATTGTCGCGAATAAACCTGACATCGTGGTGATGGAACGGGCACAGTCGCGGGTATTTTTGGTTGACATTACCATTCCATATGACGAGAACCTCGTGAAAGCCGAAACAGATAATAAGACAAAGTATCTGGACCTGGCTCACGAGGTGACCGACATGTGGGGTGGTGTGCCGACCGAAATTATCCCGATAGTCGTGTCTGCGAATGGGTTAATCCCAGTCAGCCTCTCCAAACATCTGAGGCGACTGGGACTCCGGGACGGATCGCTCCAGGCTCAAATTCAGAAGGCGGTGCTCCTCGATACCGCCCGCATCATCCGCCGGTTTCTCTCCCTATCGCCCTAACCCTCGGCCGTTTGGTCTTCCCTGCCGAGGGCTTCCGTCTGGTTGGGTCCTATTTATATCTCTTATCCTTTAAACGAGCAATTCTTGTATATATATATATATATATATATATTTATAATCGGAATCTCGGAAACGGCTCCAGCGATTTTCATGAAATTTAGTATGTGCGTAGATTCGGGGGCGAAAAATCGATCTAGCTAGGTTTCATTTTTAGAAAATGTCCTTTTATCCCTGTTTTCAGGGAATGAAAAATATAATTCGAATATGACGGTAAATTTCGCCCCAAGAGAAAATGTCATAATAGCTCGGTCGGTAATCGGGCGGCCCCAAAACAGACGGCCGTGGTTCGCGACACGATCATTTACACATTTATTTTTTAACTTTTTTTTCGATTCCAGATCATTTCTTTTTTTATTTTAATTGTAATTTTTTTCCCTTTTTTTTAAGTTCTTTCTTTTGTGAAAAACATCAGTTTGTATTTTCTTATTATTACGTCGGTAAGATCGAAAAATATTATATTATATTAGCATATTTCATTACTCAGTTATTTGTATCTAAATGTAATTTCCAAAATACACGATTTACCACAAAAAAAAACCTCCGGGTCCTCCGGGTACTTTATTTTATATATGCAATATGTATCTATATTTTTATTTTTATTTATAAACCCAACCAGACGAGAAAACAAATGAATATCCCCCCAATAATAATAAAATAACTTTATTCACATAGACGCTTGCGCGTTCTTATGAAACGTCAAAATTTTACAAAGAACGTTCGTAAGTTAGCACCGGTTCGGAAAGCAGTTTCTGTTGAGAAGAAACCGGCTAGATACTCAACAGTTGCTCTTTTTAAAAGGTTTACAATGTGATAGTACAGGTATAATAGTCTTGTTTTAGCCTACGTGAGTATCAACAGTATTAACCCCACACATTGGCGTCGTCAAAATATTCCGCAATAGCCATAACTTTACTTTTAATTTTTTGTTTAAATTCATCAAGTGGCAGACTTAATATTGACTGTGGGATTTTATTAAACATGGCCACACTTTGACCCTTGAACGACCTGTTTACTTTTATTACACGAAACAATGGCGCAGTTAGTTTATCCTTATTTCTAGTATTTAGTTTATCTCTATCACTATTCTTTAGATAATTATTAATATTATGTTTAACATACAAAATATTACAATAAATATATTGAGACGCAACAGTGAGTATATTAATCTCTTTAAAAATATCTCCGAGTGTATTGAGGGCTTTGATGTTATAGATTTCTCGGACAGCTCTTTTTTGAAGAATAGAATTTATATAAGTTGCGATATTAAAAAAAGGCCGTAGTACAAGATGCTGTGAAAATAACAGAAGTAAACAAGTCTGGCAGTGTCGATGTCTGATAGCTGCCTAACCTTCTTAATTGCAAAAACAGCGGAGCTTAACCTATTCGCAAGGGATGATAGATGGGGACTCCATTGGAGCTTTGAATCTACTGTGATTCCAAAGAAAACAGCGGATTCAACAGGATTAAAGTTTACGCTATTTAATTTCAAGCTAAAGTTTGCCTTCTTACGCTGGGAAGGGTAAAAAGAAGGCACTCAGTTTTTTTAGCATTTAACACCATATTATTAATAGTAAACCAGTGGTGGATACGCGAAAGTGCACTATTCACGTCGTCATATTTCGATACATTTCGTTCAACCTTAAAAATGAGCGATGTGTCGTCAGCAAACAGTACAATACATCACATAACTCACTGGCATAAATAATGGGCCCAAGATTGATCCTTGTGGGACACCCATTTTCATGGGGGACCCTGCGGAATTTACATCATTTATAG